TCCATCCATCCATCCATCCATCTGTCCGTCCTTCCATCCATCCAACCATCCGTCCGTCCTTCCATCCATCCAACCATCCGTCCGTCCTTCCATCCATCTGTCCATCCATCCATCCATCCAACCATCTGTCCGTCCTTCCATCCATCCAACTATCCGTCCATCCGTCCATCCATCCGTCCAACCATCTGTCCGTCCTTCCATCCATCCAACCATCCATCCATCCATCCATCCATCCAACCATCTGTCCGTCCATCTATCCATCCATCCATCCATCCATCCATCCATCCGTCCGTCCATCCATCCATCCATCCATCTGTCTGTCCGTCCGTCCATCCATCCATCCATCCATCCATCCGTCTGTCCGTCCATCCAGTTTTTATTCAGTTTCAAATTATTGAATACAGTGTCAGTTTAGTGAAAATCACAATCAAAGCAAGACTTTTAATTTCAAATTCAGTTTCTGATGGGACAAATTTCTCTCCATGGATTTCTCTGAGCTTCATGCTCTGACCTTGACAACCAAAATTAGCATTTTCTTTCTGGAAAACCAGAGTAAAATCTATGTTACTTATAATGAAACAAGATTAAATAAGTTTATCAATGTAAAAACTAAACAAAAACCAACCTAAATTCATGGTACATACAAGATGGCTTTTGACTTAAAACAGGAGAAAATGGGGATAATATCAGCTGAAGTGAATCAGAGATTGAATTAAAGAAAAATCAGAGTTACTTAAAATCAGTAATAAATCTTTGATTGAAGTCAGGTTAAATTCAGGAAGAAATCTGTGCAAACTAAAGACAAGATTGTTATCCTGGCCATTATTAAACCATACCTGTGGGCTCCAGTTTTGCAGCTTTGGAGCACATCTTTACTTTTATAGAAATCCTCCTAATGATAACTGATCAGTTCATCCATTCATCTGATTAACAGCTTTCCTGTGGAAACATCTGAGGTCTACTTAGTTTTTCACTCACATCTTAAGATTTTCTAGAGTTCTTCTCATGAAGTTGGGTTGATTTCCTCATGAACATGTTTTGTTTCTGGGGGGGGAGCTGAAATGATTCTCAGATGTTGAACCCTTCAGATTGAAGCCAGAACTGCTGCTTTGTTCTGCGTTGGCGGTAAAGGGTTAAATCCTGAGCAGATCAGAGGACAAAGAGGCTCTGGGTGCACTGAAGGAGCCTCCCTCTCCACTGCTCCTTCAGCTCCAGTCTCTGTTTCGGCTCCCAGAGGAACAACATGATGCAGGTCGTCGTGTTCTGCTGCAGCGTTTTATCTTTGCAACTCTTCCTCTGCTCTCACGGTGTGCCGGTATTTGAGGGCAGGACTGTCAAACAGCTGCAGGTGAGTCCAACAAACACTTCAGAAGAAGACAGATGCTGCTGAAGTCAGAGAAGGAGTGCAGAGTTTCTGATGTGCAGAGAAGAGCAAATACCACAGCTGGAAGGAGAACAAAAGCATTTTAGACTAAGGCTGAGTGTGCAGAACAGAATCAACAGATGATAAATCAGGTAGAGATGGAAGTACCTGGGAATTTCATGTGTAAAATTGTAAAATCGGAAATAAACATGGGGTTTGCAAAGGCTGTAAGGAAACCTAAGCCACAGCAAAATAAGACTAAATATAAAACTTCAGAAAACAGTTTAGAACCAGAACCAAACTAATTTCCTCAGCATGGAGTACAACTAGAAATGGTTCCTAAAGAGCTGAAAACTGGCAGACAGAAGTTCAACATCATCAGATAATACAGGTAATTATCTATAGAGGTACATATATATATATATATATGCATATATACTGTATATAGCCCATGCACCGTTTCCTCCTTTTGGCACCCTCTTCTTTTTGACTATTAAGCCGATGTAATGATTCAATTTCTCCACTTTGAGATAAATATAGTCAATCAATCAATCAACGTAGTGCTCATAGACAATTATCACCTACGGTTATGTTTTGTTTGTCTGTTAAAATCTTATGGATTGATTTTAATTACATTTTTACCTGTGACATGCTTCATGCTAAGGAACAAATTATTTAAATTTCATTTAAGTTTTAGCTACAGATGTAATTACGTCACAATATGGTGGAAATGTGCTGCTTGATGGTGATCTGCGCTCTCAGAGTTCATACTTGATTGTTGCTCTACTTTTCAATCCAATTTCCATTTATAGCTATTGTAAATGTACGGAAGAGGATTAGGGCCAATGATAAATAAAAAAAAAAAAGTTAACTGATTTTTAAATTTCATTTCAGTGTGATATGGGAAAAAAAGACTTTAATCTCAGAATTCTGGATTTTAATGTAGATGGGCACCATGAAGGAAGAGAAGTGGAGCACTCAGCTTCACTGACAAAGATGTGAGCTGTTTAGGAGGGCCAGTGACACATTGGTGGAAAATGACAGAATCAGGCGACTTTTTACCTGCCTGAGGGGTCCCTGGTGATGCTATTTAATTAATGGAAGAGCAGAAGGTGATTATAACAAGAGAGCTAGTCTTTAAAACAGTCATGGCTGTGGCTTAATGCTAACATGTTTGTTAGTTGACAGAATTTAGTCAGAATTCTTAGAAAGAAAGTCAGAATTCTGAGAAAAAAAATCTGAATTCTGAGATTTAAGTTAAAGTTCTGAGAAAAGTCAGAATTCTAAGAAAAAAGTCAGAATTCTTAAAAAAAAAAGAAAGTCAGAATTCTGAGGGGAAAAAAATCAGAATTCTGAGATTAAAATCAGAATCCTGAGATTTAAGTCAGAATTCTTAGATTTAAGTCAAAGTTCTGAGAAAAGTCAGAATTCTAAGAAAAAAGTCAGAATTCTGAGCTTAAAGTCCGAATTCTTAGAAAAAAGTCGGAATTCTGCGATTAAAGTCAGAATTCTGACTTTTTCTCATATTATACTGAAATGAAATTTAAAAATCAGCTAACTTTTTAATTTTTTCAGTGGCCCTAATCCTTTTCTGTATAAATGAAAGCATTTAAAAGAAAAATGTAAAATTATTTTTATGACACATGAAGTTTAAGTGAATGCTCCACCAGGTGATTGGTCAGTATTGGTAGCCCTTCGTGTGACTCTGTTTCAATAAAGGAGCTCAGCTTAAAAAATGTTGGTGAAGCTTGCAGTAGAGCTGCAAATTTATTTTCCTATTTAATGTAATTTGCTGTTTATGAAGATTTATTTCTTCATAAACATCGTAAACTTTCCAAATTATCTGTGCTTTGGGCTTCCGTAGTTCAGAGTAATATCCACCCCTGCTCTTCATGTTCTAAATCGTAAAGTCCAAACTAGTAATATATTATTATAGTGTAGGACTAGTAGCTGCAAACATTTTGTGTTTTATTTT